GCAACTGAAGCTTAGTATTTGGAAAAATGGAGTTAAATATCTGGAGAAACAAGAACCCAGAAGGAACAGGAAGGTTGATTCAGATGTTTGATTTGTTTTGTTTTGACAGTATGGCTTGTTAGCAGTACCTGGCCTTTCAATACAATGTAATCCATCACTAATAAAACGAAAACAAAATTTTATCTTAAGAACCTCATTAAAAATCATGATTTCTTGTTTGCTTGGTACAAGGTATCCACTAACATTTAAAAGTATGTTACAAAGATAAAAAAATTATCTATTTCTTATCCTAAATCTCATCTAACAGTTGATGCTAAATAAAGGAAAGAAAAAATGTTTTCATCAACTAAGTCCAAATAGAAGTACACTAGTCTGTGTCATCCAGAGATTTAAAACAATAAATTCCAAGACTGACGCAGAAATAGTTTTATAGTTTAAACTCTGAGCATCCAGTTTGCGAAGGCTATGGATGACAATGAAAGCCCCAAATCCATTTGTAGGGTCTCCACTTAGAGTGAGCCCCAGGGCTGACTACTGCTCAAGCATGTGAATAGCCTTGCTAAGACCTAAGTACACTGGCAATTGAGCTAATATAGATGTAATCAAGCTAAATTTTATCACTTTTACAATTTGCTCTTCTTTTGACTCATTTTAAAGTCGTTCCAGATTTTAGTATTTCCTGTTGAAAAAAGTATTCCACTGAGGTTCTGCAATATTTTGTTGCAATATACTGTTAGTTTGGGGGGGTGTTGGTGGGTGGGGGTAAGGGTGTGTTTTTCTTGGAGGGGAGGGGTTGGTACATTTTTCTTTATTTGAAATCCAGGACAGGTAAATCTATAGAGGCAGTAAGTGGATTAATAGCTTCTTGGGGTTATGGTGGGAGAAGGTGGGGAAAATGAGGAACTAATAATGAGTATAACTGGTACAGCTAAGAACTGGAAACAGGGAACCCAGGACAGATGAACCCCTCAGGCCCAGTAGTGAGAGTGGTGATACCAGGAGGGAGGAGGAAGCAGGAGTAGAAAGGGGGAACCAATTACAGGGATCTACATATAACCTCCTCCCTGGGGTACAGACAACAGAAAAGTGTGTGAAGGGAGACGGTAGGCAGTATAAGACATGACAAAATAATAATAATTTACAAATTATCATGGGTCATGAGTAGAAAGAAAATGTTTTGAGAATGATGATGGCAACAAATGTACATATGTGCTTGACACAATGGATGGATGTATGGATTGTGACAAGAGTTGTATGAGCCCCCAATAACATGATTTTTAAAATAAATAAATAATGAGTACAAAAAGAAGAAAATGTTCCAAAACTGTGGTGATAAGTGCACAACTCTTTTTAATATGTTTAAACTATTTAATTGTATGATATGAGTTATTTGTCAATAAAAGTATTAAAATTAAGAAAGAAAGTAACACTGTTATCAAGCCAATTCTGATGCACGGTGCCTCTAGGAAACAGAGTAGAACTTACAAAATTTCAATCTAATCTTTTTTTTTTTTGAACCGCAAAATCCATTTTTATTTGGTAGTTTTTATAACCTATGGTGACATAATGTGCATGGCATTTATCTGGTAATCTGGCATATTGGCTCTGGGGAGAAGAAAAAGCTTTTAAACATTATTTTCAGATGTGAATTTAACGCTATAATAACAAATAAAAACTAAGCTACTTTGGAATTATCTTTATCCTTTGTTGGATAGGTTAGAGTTGTGACTTAATCCTTTGACTCAACATTCATTTTTTAAAGAGTCTGTTACTGAGATGGCCAATTACTTTTAAAGCTAAGTATAAAAGACTAGTTATTTTTCAGGAAAAAAATTGATCAAATGTAGATTTGTTACTAGATATTGAATCTTTCAAGTCTTCCTATGTGATTTGATGCAAGATTACTTTAAAACAACAAGCAGTAGTAAAAACGTCAGCAGCTGGAGGGGAGCAGGGAGGGAGGGGGAAAATGAGGACCTAATGTCGGGGGTTTAAATGTTTTGAGAAACGATGTACAAATGCGCTTTACACAATTTATGTGTGTATGGATTGGGATAACAGTTGTATGAGCCCCTAATAAAATGTTAAAAAAATAATAATAATAATAAAAAATAAAAAAGATTAAAAAAAAAACAAAACGTCAGCAGCTGTTCAATTCATTTCCAACTCACTTCATCCACCTCGTGTGTCAGCAGTGCAGCTTCCAAAGCACCATGAAAAAGCTGAGTTTTCCAATGTCGAATGTCAGCAAACCTCTAAACTTTTAGTTAACAGTCACGTCTATTAACTGTTCGGATTACTGAGGAACTGCTAAATTCCTTCCATACGGTGGCTCTCATGTAGGAGAGAATTTAAAATAGAAAAGGACTAAAAGTTTAAACAACGAAGGCTCCAGATCCACAGTGGAGGAATGTGTGTGTGAAGTAAGGCTACATAAGAAATTCTTTTACTCCGTTTAGAGCAGAAAATAACAAGCACAGCACACCTGTTACTTTCTTTCCCTCTTAACGCACTCCTCTTACTTTTAGCTGCAAGTTCACTCACATTTATGCTAATAAGGACAAAGATTTTTACGGAAAAAAACTCTGGTAATGAATTTTGTGTAGAAGCTACTTCTAAAACATTTTTGGTTTTTGCTGAGAACTACAGGAAGGTGAGGACAGCAATATTTTTTTAGCTAACAGTTGTATACAGGAAGCGTCAAAAAATTAATACACAAGTGAAATTAAAAAGATGAAATTTCACAAACTCTGAAAGCCCTAATCAAATGCTCCAAATTACATGGTAAGTATGAGGCTGCTTCAGAAGGTTCATGGAAATACCGAATTATCTTTTTATTTGTTCATGAACTTTTTGAAGCCCTTTTCGGACAAATGAACTGAAAACGACACCAGAATAAAGTTATCAAAAACACTGTTAGAAATAAACGTGCACATTACTACATCAGAACATTCAAAGTAATTCTGCCATTGAATTTTTATACATATTAACCACTGGAGCTTCTCTTGTAATACTTCACCTTTTATAAACTATTTGTTAGCTTTCTCTCAGCAATTGCCGCTAGATTTGCAGGTCCACCCCAGACTTTCTAAAAGATCTCTCTCTTTCTCTAATGCCTCCTCTAAGCATAACTCTTTGACTGAAGAAACAGACAATTTCAATGTTCTAATGACTTCTGGTGGCCCTTTGATAAACTGCTGTAGCCATGCTTGTGCCTCTTCTAGAGACTGAATTGCATCTTTAGACTGTAAAACCTCTTCAACCATTCCTATATTTAAAGCTTTTGGGGGATCCAGTTTGAGGGCCCCAGTTAACACCTTGAGAACTTGTCTACTGCCAATTATTTCAAACAGCCGGGTTGTGCCACCCCAACTTGGTATTATACCCACCTCCTTATGGACAAATCTGATCTCACTTTCTGGAGTCATTAACCTGAAATCGCATGCTGTCGTAAATTCTGCTCCTCCACCCATTGCCCGGCCTTGAACCAGTGCAACACTTATTAAAGGAAGTCTCGTGAATCTTGTTAAGGTATTCTGCATGAACATACATAATGCCACTCCATCCTCTGGAGTTCCCAGTGCTTTCACAGCATTCAGATCAGACCCCGAAGAGAAAGTGTTGTTAGCCCCATGGACAATGACACCTTTTCCTTCTGTCCACTGTTCCAATTCAATTACTTTTTCTAGAAGCTGTAGCATCATAACACCTGAGAATGCATTCATTTTACTTGGATTATTCAGAGTAAGAATGCCAATGCCATTATTGTTCTTCTGAAGGTCAACGGATCCACCAGTAAACTGTGCACGCTTTTTTTAACTTCTTCCTCATGGAAGCCATGAGATGTAATATAAAGTGACAGCCCAGTCTGACACAGCAGTTTTGTCCAGGCAGACAGAGATGATGTCTTCAAAACACTAGCTGCCATTTTTAGCACGAGGCCATCAAAATAGATGAAACCTCCGTCTCCTTCTACATATGTGGACGCAGGTGACTTTTCCAGGATCTAAACACCTGCTCTTCATCCCCATATCCCGGGCAGGAGAGTAACCTAGGTGTGCACTCTGCGGCTCGCTCGCGGCGCTCCCAAAGCTCTAATCTTTATGAGAAGAGACTGCCACATCTTTCTCCTACGGAATGGCTGGTGGATTTGAACTGTTGATCTTTCACTCAGCAGCTGAGCACTTAACCACTGCACTACCAGGGCTCCTTAATGTGTGGAATATTTTTCTCAACACTGGCTATTGTTAAAGTTCAGTCACAGTGGTGAATGTTCACCTAAATAGTTTCTACAAAGTAAGTAAGATGGAAAAATCAGGTAATACTTTTTCTAATCTGAAAAATAAAGAGCTCTGTTGATGTAGTGGACTACACTGAGCTACTAAGTTGTTTCAACCCATCAGTCAATCCAAGGGAGAAAGATGAGGCTGTCTGCACCCACAAAGATTTAAAGTCCTGAAAATCCAAATGGACAATTCTTCTCTGTCCTAAAGACTGCCATGAGTCAAAATCTACCCAATGACAGTGAGTTTAATCTAAGACAGTGGTTCTCAACCTTCCTAATGCGGTGACCCTTTAATACAGTTCCTCATGTTGTGGTGACCCTCCAACCATAAAATTATTTTCGTTGCTACTTAACTGTCATTTTGCTACTGTTAATGAATCGAGCGACCACTGTGAAAGGGTTGTTCGACCCCCAAAGGGGTTGCAACCTACAGGTTGAGAACCGCTGATCTAAGACATAAGCATTTGTTGAGCAGCTATTACCTAAGTCAAATATTTCAGAGGTACATGATGATGATTAGGTTTCTATTTCAATAGAAACTGAACACTATTGTTTGTTTCCTCGGTCTCCCCCAAAACCATCAATACAACAATTAAAAAGTATAAATAAGGAACAAATTAATAAAAACTCTTTTTAAGAGGAGAGAAAATATCTACAGTTAAAAGAACAACTAAAAAACAAACAAACAAACAAACAACTATAGTCTTTTTTTTAAACATAAATTAACCCATTTATTACAGGCCAGAGAGGTTTCAGGTAGTGGAGCTTCTACTGGTCTTTCAATTCCTTCCGTCTTCTGATGGCGGACTTGACTGTGACAGCAGAGGTGGTGTTGTAGGTCCGGGCTCTGCCAGCTCCTGTCTTCATGCAGGAACCGCAGTGCCAGATGCCCAGAGCGCGTCTCTTCATTTTGGTTTTGCCGCAGAAGGAGCAAGTGTACTTGGCGTGTTGGCTGATTTCAATTTTCTTCACCATGTTCCTGAGGGAGGCACCATAACGGGTCCTGTATTTGCCCATGATCCCAACCTTCTTGGTGTGTTTGGCCATCTTGCCGCAAACTAGTCCCAGGCCAGAGAGGAGCACAACTATAGTCTTAAAGTGCAACTATAGTCTCTCCATATTTGAATGGAAGAAGAGTTTTAAAAAACTTAGCATGTAGAAAAATGAGGACCTAATGCCGGGGGTTTAAGTGGAGAGGAAATGTTTTAAGAATGATGAGGGCAATGAATGTACAAATGTGCTTTACACAATTGATGTGTGTATGGATTGTGATAAGAGTTGTATGAGCCCCTAATAAAATGATTTAAAAAAAAAACAACAACAGCATGTATGGAAACAATCACCAAAGGATTAATAAACCACACAAACCTAAGGTTCCACAATCCTGAGACCAGAGGAACTAGATGATTCCCAGCTACCACCACCAACAGTTCTGGAAGGGATTAAGTTGGAAAAGCCTGGGTAGAGTGGAAGAAAAAGGTGGAACAAAATTCAAAATCATTTAAAAACAAAAACAAAAGGCCCCATAGACACTTGGTGGAACCCCCACACTAAGCTGCTCAGTCAGTCACTCTTCCAGTCTGGAATTCACTCACACTCAGGAGTCCATTGTTAGCCAAAGGAGAGACATGCCTACAGGGTGATCAATAACACTCGGGAAGTACATTAGAATAACCAACCCTTCGAGATCAAAAGGAATGGAAACAAAATACAAAAAGGAAGTGGATAAAGTGATGTTACACGTTGGGAGTTGCAATCAATGAATGAAACAAAATGTGTAGGAATTACTGAATGGAAAACTGATCTGCTCTGAAAACCTTTACCCGGTTAACAATAAAAAATTAAAAATCATAAGTGCATCATGCCATGAAGACTGATTGTTAAATCCAATGTTGGAGGGTAAATATTCAAATTGGTCAGAAAGAAAGAAAATGACATTTAAGGAATCAAAGGCAAAGGGATCCAAGTTGGTGGAAAATTAGGGCAAAAGTAGCCATAATTCCAAACATGGTAAGCAGGGTAAGCAGAAGCCACTTTTTCCAACAGGGAAAGAAAAAAAAAAGATCACAGGTTCAGAACACTAGGCCTGAAAGATTATTGTTCTCATTATTGCTCTCAGGAGGCTAATTAAGAGTTTGTATGCCAAACAGGGATTTGGGGTCAACCCAAACACATCCCCAGGATGAAGAAAGAACTATCTGCCAAGTACACCGAGCAATTTGCCTGGAGCAGTTGGAGCTCCAACAGCAAGGGTAAATAATGCCACAGAGCAGTAGAGTGACAATACGCTCCGGGTTGTCCCAGGCAGTCGCAAGTTGCGTGGATTTATGTTCCAAATCATTATTAGTAGCAGGCCCTTTAACTCTCACGACGTACAGTCACCTTTCAAAGTAGGACCCTTTTTATTTGGGCTGGCAGAGGAGAGGAGAAGCCTGCTTGCCCGGTCCCACATATTCCCGACTCACATTCACACAGTTAGTCCTCCCACACGGGGAGTAAAAGCTCAGAGCAGAGGAACCCTATACCAACTGTCTAAATAAATCAAGCCCTACTCCTTCATACACATGAATTAGCAACCAATAAAACCCTGAGTCTTTATTTCTAAAAGAAAAAAATAAGAAGAGGATACCAAGATGAATAAATATATAACAAGGGACTACAGAAAAAAAACAAGTAGTAAAACAACAGAACAGAGAGGGTATAGATAGTTCTTATCCTCTCAGAGTTTTGAGAAACCAGTTTCCAAAAAATTTGCTCCTGAAACACAAGTTGCTACTGAAATCTAAAACAAAGCAACCATTCATAATAGCCAAAGGTGGGTACAATCTAAATGTCCATCAACAAATGAAGAAATAAAATGTGATAACATACACAGAATAAAATACTACTCAGTCATAAAAAGAAACAAAGTCCTAATACACGCTACACACGTGGAAGAACTTTGAAAACATTAAGTCAGTCACCAAAGGGCACATATTGCATGATACCACTTACATAAAGCATCTCAGAGGTAAATGTGTAGAGGCAAGATGGTCAGTGAGCACCAGGGATGGGAGAGAGAGAGTACTTCTTGGGGCGCTGAACTTCTGTTAAAACAAAAGTTTTAACAGAAACTTTTCAGTATCTTTTCATTCTATTTTTCCTCAAACTTCTTTAAGTCCCCTTGTATGGTAACATAGAAATTCCATCGCTTTTTCTATACCTCTAAATATACTTCCTACTTTATAGAGAATTATTATCTATATAATGATATTTAACTATTGTTCCCTGGCTTTTGATTTTCAGACTCAACCTATAAACTAAGTGGCAAAGCATCCTAGAGGCAGGGAGAAAAAGGTAATATACACAGTGACAATATAGATTATGTAACTTAGTGTGGGAAATGGAAGCATAATGAGAGCTAGAGAAACTTAAAGTCCATTAATTTCTCCATTTTACAAATTGCAAGTCAAGACATGGTGCCTAATGTGGATAAATCAAGAATTAAAAATGAATATATATATGTATGCATACATGTGTGTATGTATGTATATGTGTGTATTTATATATATACAGCATTTGAAGACTCAAAGTTTTCAGACTCATGGCAAATGCTGACAGCTGACAAAACAAAGTAGAGATGTAAGTATTTAGAATTTAAAATATTTACAAAGAGAATCACAAAAAAACAGTAATTAGAAATGGTCAAAAGAGTTTATTTCTAATAAATGGAAATCGGGCAAGACAAGCAAAAATTATCTTATACCCATCTGTTATTTGAATTTTTATTTCCATATGAACCAAAAAAGACTAAATGTTTTCAAATTTCAGCAGTATTTTTAAAAGGCTGACTTCATTTTCAGCGTTGCTCATGTAACATATATGTATTTTTATATACAGTGTATAATTATCTAATTTTTAATTGAATTATCTCTGCAAGAAATTAAAAACTCTAAAGTACATATTTTGTTGCTACAAAAGTGTTAAGTGAATCTTGATTTAAACTTTAGTTTTAGTCATCATCAGAGCTGAACAAATACAAATGATATTAGTATCAACCAAACATATATTATTGGAAACTACTGGGAGGCTGTCTTGTCTGAGCTAGATGTTTTCAAAACTTTAGACAATGATATTCGATGTCTGTGTTATTGCTGGGAATTTTTATGGTTGTGATATTAAGAGTTCATTAACTGCACAATTATCTACACTTGACAACTCACAGTACTTGAACCATACCTATCAGGCAACCTCAGCTATGGAAAACAAACTAAGAATGAGAAATGCACAAATAAGCTGTCAAAGACTCAAACGCCAAAAATTTTGTTAAAGCACTAATGTGCACTACAGAATCCCTCACTTGCCTTTATTTTACACAAAGTAATATCAATTTGTGTCTCGTATTTTAAGCCCTAACCAGCTCAGAAAAAGGGAGAAGAAAAATATATGGTAGTCAAGGAGGTTACAAAACAACTACAAAAAGCAGACCAAGAGCATGCTGCCTTAAACAGAGAATGTATCTTCAAAATGATGACTCTGTGTCAAAATAAGACAATACTATACACACTCAAGACCCTTTGCTTAGGAAAATATGAATACATGCAATCTAATTGTCATCAAAAAGTTCTTTTGTTTTGATTAACTTCACGATCAGAGAAACTTCTCTAGTAACAAACTATAGAAATGATCCCTGAAAGTATAGTCTTCTGCTTTAGTTAACTCTTGAAAGAAATCTTTAATGCTCTGAAAACAAATATCCATAACTTACCATTCCTGGAGGGATCAGAATCGCTGAGAAGCTATGACTAGAACAGGTCAAGTTTCTACCCGTACGTAAAAACTAACAACTTCTTTTTCACTTCTTGATAAATTTTTGTAGTCAAAATGTGAATTTATCAGAGGGTTGTTGTCAATCTTCTGTACACAAAGTGTTTTATCTGATACAGATGAATGTCTCACCAAAGACTCCACTAACTGTAGAATCCAGAAGCCTCTGACTAGCTTTGATATTAGTGCATTTCTAAACACAATCTTTCTTACTGCACAAAAACAATCCCTTTTCATAATGAAAACGCATCATTACAGATCAGAGAGAGAAGACTTATATTCTCACTAACACCTAAAGACTATCCAAATTAAAATCAAACTCACCGCCACCAGGTTGATTCCTACTCATAGCAGCAAAGTAGATCAGCCCCTGTGGTTCCCAAGGCTGTAAATCTTGACTGGAACAGTCGGTCCCAGTTTCCTCCCTCTGAAGCACTGGTGGAGTCAACTCGTAACCCCATCTACAACCCACTATGCCACTCCTCCTAAATCACTGTCACCATGAATTCATGTAAGCAAGATACCGATTTCCCCACAAAATTCTTATCACATGTCCCATGCTTTTTAATCTTTAACACAAACATTTTTCTGTGTTAATAAGTTTCCTGTGAGAACAGGTGAATAGCCTAAGGCAAACTATTTATTTGAGCCTCGCTTTCTCGTGTATAAATGTGAAATAACAGCTATTATCTACCCCGTAGGTTTATGTGAGAATTAAATAATTTGGGAAAAATATTTGCCTGGCACACAGTAAGGAGTCAATAAATATTTGCCTTTTTTAAGACTGTCTAATTAATCCAATGCCTGATACCATTTTACCAATCCCCTGCTGTTGAACACTTCTAGTCAGTTCTTCCCTATTTTAATGGTAAAATGAAAATCCATGTATCTGTTTTTCATATATCCTAAATTTCTTTCTTTTCTAGATGTGAAAGCCTGGATCCATGATCTTTTATATATGTAAATGCCTTACATTCACTAGCAAGCCCAGGTCTGCCACACTTTTATCTTTCCATTTGTAAGGTTAAAAGACTGCAAACAGAACATATAAAAATTGTGCTTTTACTACTTAAATTTTGATCATTATTTTTCACTTTACTTGGAAGAGTGAGCAAACTTTCCGTGTGGATTTGCAGTGTTTTTCTCAAGTGCTACTTAATGCCCGCGAGTCGATTCCGACTCACTGTGGTGCGACACTATAGGAGTGAGCTTTGGGTTTCTGAATCCTGACAAATTGACTGAGATAGACAGCCTCACCTTTCTCCCACAGGGTACCTGGTCGATTCGAATTGATGGCCTTGCAGTGAGCAGCTCATTTACTCTACACAAACTAAATCTTATAGAGGGCAATTGTAAATTGTAGATTTGAATAAAGTCAGCATACTGGTTGTTTAAACACAAGGTAAAGATGTATGCTCAATAAAATTAGAAATGTTCCTGAGCATGTCAAAACTCATACTTCACTGTAACAGCATGCAAAGATTAGAAACTCTAAAATTAGAAAAAGGTTTGCGAAACCTCTTGAGACTAAAGAAGACTGGCGAGACTATACAGCAGAAGCTCTAATCTTCGCAAACACAAGGTGCTGGCAGCATCAAACTATGTTCACGGAGCGCTTTCAAGACTGTTTCTGTAAATTAACACGCCCCCTTTCCCCTAGGAGCCGACATTTCTCGGAGCAACAGCGTTCCTAACACACAAATACAACCGGAGCGTGCAGCACGGCACGACGGTAGAAACAAGAGGAGAAATGCGGTGGACAGGGCACCGGGCTGGCCAGGTCTCCGAGAATCTGGCCCTCGCTTGGTAAGCATCGCCGAAGGAATGCCAAGTGACTAACTCGTGACGGCTCGGACGCTGGAGGCCAGCCAGCCACGCCGCCCCGTCGCGCCGGTGCAGAGCCTGCCCCAGAGGGCGCGACCCCTGGGCCTCACCCAGGAGTCCAGGTTTGCAACTCAGCGACCTCCGATCTGCATGGGTCAGGGGTCCGGCTGGACCCTCGCCCCTCCGAACACAACTTTGGGTGCAAGGTGGGCGAGGGGAACTCATGAGATGTCAAAGATTACCAGGGATTTCCCACTCCGCCCGCGTCCACGGGTTGGGATCGGAGGGATCGGGAGCTCCTCCTACTCGAGGAAGATCCGAGGTGCTTTCCCCCGTCCTCAGACTGGGGTGGGACGCCAGCGGGAAACTCTCACGTAGGTCAGATGCCACGAAGGATCCGCCCACACGTACACACCCCACCCCAAGCAACGCGTTCCGGGACGGCGCAGAGGTCAGGAGCAGCGGGGACCCCGGCCTCCAAGCGCTCCCTCTGGGTCCCAGGCTGGGCCAAGTCCTAAGGTTCGAGGTCAAGGGTCACGGTGGAACTTCTCTCCTCCCCCGAGGGGGTCGGGAAATGGGGACGGAGAGCGACAGTCTGCATACCTGAGAAAAAGCCAGCGCCAGCTGCTGCTGCTGCTCCTCGCTGATCTTTTGCTTCAGTTTCTTAAACATGGCGCAGCACGCTGGGTCCTGAGTGTGAATGAAACCTGAGGGGCGGGTGCCCAGGGAGTCACTGGCGCGCCGGCGGCGCCTCCTCTACACCAGGGACTGCGGGGGCCGGGCCTCGGCGCCTCCTCTCTGGGCTCGCAGGCAGCTCCGGACACTTGTCCTGCGGGAGTGTGCGTCGTCGCCGCCGCCGCGTCTCTTTCTTCCAGGTGCCACTGGCTGGCCTCGGCCCCCCATCCAGCGGCGGCG